GGTACCAGATCCCCTGCTCCCCAAATTGCCAACATTAGTATGTCTGCCACTCATGGAATCCACATTTTCACCATGGGTGATGAAAGACCCCTTTGTTCCTTTAGCCTAATTTCCCTGGTAACTCACCCCAGTGTGGCCTGCAGCCCTTTGGTGGCTCCCAAGCCAGGCCATAACACATGAGAATTGGGTGTTTCCCCTGCCCACACGGGCCTGGCAATTGCCACTGCTGCCCCAGAGAAGTGGTGATCAGTGTGTGCTGACTGGTATCTCAGCCGTGACACGCCAGGGAAGGGTCAACCCCATGAAAGGGGTCTTTCATGGCCGTAGGACAGGGCCCCTATTTTTTCCTTCAGAAACCTTTCACTCGCTCTCAGAAGTGACAATCAAATGTGAACTTTCATGATTTATTTATAGCTCTGCCTTATAAAGAAAAAGAAAAGAAGTGATTAAAATGCTATTTTACAAACTATTTTCTTTTTAAAAAGCTTTCATTGTGTGGGCAAAAAGGAAAAAGAAAAGTCACTGTATTCATTGTGCTGTCTAGACTCTCAAACAAAGAGGGTAGCGTGCTGCAAATTAAGATTGTCCGGCTTCCACCCGCTAACAAAAAGTATGAATTTGGAGGCCAACTTCAAATAAACCCTTTCTAACAGAAATATATTGTGGTGGTGACTATATTTAGTATGTGTCAGCATTTCCATAATAAATTCATATTGTTATGCTGTGGTCATTTCTAGATTTACTGCAGCCAGTGGGATCATGAGATTTCAGTTTTATGTTAATCACTTGGAGAAATTGGAAAATTAAGCAGTGCTATTTCTCAGGGCAACACCGAATCTCTGGGCATTCTCCACATTGTGTCAGGTACCCATAATAAGCTTTGCCTTCCAGGAGAGAGAAAACTGAGCCTGAGTCATTTTGACTTCCTGTGTAAGCATAACTCTTTTTTTTTTTTTTTAATTAATCAGTATATTTGTATTTTCCTTACAATATAAAATTAGTATATGCCAATGTAGAAAATTCAGAAAACACAAAAGTTAAGAAGAAAAAAAATGACCAGCATGCTCTCAAAATTGTTAACATTTTAACACATTTCATCCAAGCCTTCTTATGCATATCAACTTGCATTTAACATATTGTGTAAAACAAACAAAATGTATAGCACAAACACATCCTTGGAGACAGAATCAAAAAACAACTCTATTTTTTATTCCCACTGCTCCTTTACATACGTACAGTGGAGCTTGTTTTTTCCTGCGCTGATTAACAGTTCTGGTAGTTCCATTACTTTGTTGGAAAAGTTCTAAATCACTTAGATGATATAAGGCTTATGGTCCCTTTAAGTTGTGAGCCATCGCCAAAATTCAGAAATCCAAATATCGAGAGAAATATGCAAAGGCGAAGGTAAGATGTCTCCCAGTTTCTCCAGCTGGGTCTGCCACAAATGAGAAGAGGTAGCCGGGATCAGATTCTTTCTTCCTCTCCAACACAGTGGATTTTTTCTTGTTCCTCTGAGGTGGCTAGAGGGTATAAGGGAAGAGAAGTTGGAAGTGTAGGAAAGCTCTTATCTGATCAGCACTGTCATAAATGGGCCTTATGCTCTCTTAGCCTAATAGATGTTTCCAGCTAGCTCTTGGTCTCATAAACCTCCATCATAGACTTTTCTGAATACTTTTGACCTCTGAAAACCTCTCACCTCCAATATCCTTGTCCTGGTTAATGCCTCTCTCTTCTGGTAGATTGCGTACTCTTCTCTTAATTCCTTAGAACTCTGGTAGTTCTTCTCTAGCTTCTTTGTGCAGACTCCCTCTGCCTCATTAGGCAGCCTTGTTGAATAGGACCCAAGACAGCCCCTGACAGCTCTGTCACATGTGGGCCACTGCTTCCATAGGAAGCAGTCATGCCACTGGGAGCCTGACAGACGCTGGCAATGCTAGCTAATCCCAGAGCAATCTCTCCACCATTTCTACACTGAAGCTGCCAGCCAGCTCGTTTCTTCCAGGCAGGACTCACACAATCCACTGTGTGAGCTACAACCTCAGAAATACATGCCAAGTCCTCTCGGTGTCAGTGAAACCCTGCTCTCTTGACTATTGAAGGGGGAGAGTCCCCTCACGCCTCACCCTGGAAAGAGCCCTCGTGTGTAATAAACCAACAGCTCTGTCCTGAAAATCTATCTCTTTGGCCTTCCATGTGGATGAAAAGTGTAAGACTTGATTGATGGGTCCCCAACCACCCTTTTTACAAATTCTTCGGGGTGGTCTTTTTCCAGCTCACTTTGGCATCTAATATCTGTCATCTTTAGATCTCAGCCAAAACTTCCATTTTATCATTCTGTCACGTGTATTATCCTTAAGTTCATTCATTCAGTAGACATTCTCTGAGTGCATACGATATGCTGGATGCTGAGTTTCACAATGAAAATAATTATAACAATTCCTTCCATAAGGAGCCCACGGTCTATTTGGGAAGGCTAATCTGTTAACAAAAAATTATGGTGCCATGTCATAAGTGCTGTGATAAATGGAGCGCAGGTTGCTGTGGGAGCAAATACCTCAATTTAGGGGGGCAGGCAGGCAGCAGGGATCAGTCAGAGAAGAAAATCTCAGTAGAATTCATACCTGAGCTAAGTTTCACTTTTAAATCTATTTTTTGAGAAACAAAATAACCTCTCTTTGAACTTTCAAAATCTCTATTGCTGGTGTTTGTTTCTCAATAATTTATTTTTAAGACAAGCAAAGGTAAGGTAAAGAAATGAAGAAAGACTTCCCTGATGTCTGCCATTTGTCCACACATCTGCCATAGGGAAGGAAAAGAACATTTATGGAGTACCTCCCGTAATCCAAGTTTCCTGGATCCCACCCATGAAGGCAGTCCTGGAATGTGGTCTCAAGTCAGGGACCTAAGCTCAACAGGAGGAGCATTCCCCAAGGGCATTTTCATGATGCAGGGATGGGGACAGGAGGCAAGATCCTCCCCGAAGCACAGCAGAGCAAGACCCAAGGAGGGACGGAGACAAAATACGTCCTGAGGATGAGAGACAAAGTTCATGATGGGGTTGCTGAGACCACCTCAGAAAGATGCGGGGCTTGCTTTAGGGGAATCAGAACACAGTCTGTGAAGGACAGTGCTCTAACATGTGTTGAGGGAAGCAGAGCTCTTAAAATTCCCTGTAAGTGGAACAGCAGCAACCTCACTGAGGTGTGTTTGACTGTTTGCTTCTTCACCAAATGGCTCCAGACAGCCCTTGTTTAGTTTTTGTCTTTTCTCCATGGCTCCCTTGTCAATAATTTTTTGTAATTTTAAAAATCTTCTCTCTACTTAAGGCTGCCATTTCTCTCTGCTGTCAGTGTGCTTGCTGTGTTTGGCAGCTCTGATCTCCCAGTCAGTGCTTCCAAATCTGTTGAGGGCCAGGACGCCAGATAACCAGTTCAGAATGTTCATGCTATCCTTGCGGGAGAGTCGGCAGAGCAACCTAGCATGGGTGGAAATTTGTGTAAGTTAGCAGATGAAAAAGCTATCAGGTTTCCCAACCCTTGAATAACTATTGAAAAGAAGTTTATCCGCTTCCACCATAGTATTTATCACACTCTATTTTGATCACAGTAAATGTCTTTTCCATTCTATGGTGAGCTCCTTGATGAAAAGCCCCTGCAGTCTTCCTCTCTGTATTTCATAGATATTGAGTGCTATGCTTGGCACATAAAAGGGCTCAATATGTCTTATGAGTATTCTAGGTGCTGAGATTCAGCAGGAAACAGACACAGCCCCTGCCCTTGTGTTGCTTACATTCTAGTGAAAGGAAGGAGTAGAGAGGGCAGATAATGAACACATAAAGAGTAAGTGCATGGCATGTCAGAGGGTAATTAGTGGTATGCAAATCATTCAGTCAATCACAGTAAGGTGGCAAGGATGGTCAGGGAGACACTTGGATATGTTTTGAAGATACCTAGGGGCTCTCTCATTCCATGCGGTAGTCAGCTTTGTACATTTTTTCCTCCCCTGCTAGTATGTGAGTTTCTTCAAGACAAAGAGTATGTCTTATGCAAATCTGATTCCTAGCACAGTGTCTGGTACATAGTGAGTAATTAGTAAATGTGTGGAATAAGATGTACACATGTGATCCCAGAACGACTACATCCTTAGCAATAGGAGTTCAGTAATTGTTCCTACGACAGGGCCTATTCTGTGGAGCTTTGTCACTCTATTGTTTGCAGTCTTCCCTGGTCAGGTCTGTTGGACTCCAAGTTTGGGTTTACTCCATTCCCCTTAACTTCCTGGTGGCCTTAAGAGCCTTGGGAGACTGCCCAAGGAAACTAACCCTTCTGTTCATATAATGGAACCAACACAATCTGTGGCTGATCTTGATACTGTACATACTACAGCATGTCCACCCAATGCCGTAACATGTCATCTCCCCAAGTGCCCCATTGTAAAGGCAAAAATGTCCCGAAGTCCCATTCTGGAAATCAGGTCACTCCAGACTCAGCCCAGGAGTCTCACATCTGTAGTCACAACTTCAGAGACTGCTGGAAAAAGAGCTGAAGGTGAATTGAAGAGGTCTTGAATATTTTATTTTTAAAGTACAAAGGGTTCCATTTAGTTACTATCTTTAGTTAAGTATGTGATGTGCCCAGTGGCTGATCATAATGTCTTCTTATGTACCATCCACCCAAGTCCAGGTAAGGAGGAGGGGAAATAACCCCACCTACTGATCCCTGGAGGCAATTATAAAAATGCTTTGCCTTCTGGGTTGTTTAGGCCCTGGAGGCCTCAATACACAACTATTTATTAAGCCCAGGATGTGTGGTCACGGATGTAACTTTAAATATTCATTGGGTTTTATTCTTATTACTAGGGAAAAATAAGTTGGAAAAAATCTGGACTAACTGATTATGTTAAAGGGAAGTGGATTCTAGTTAGAGTGTTCTTGCCTGTGACAGCCTCACCCTGGTTTTACCTTTCCAACTCAGCTCCCCGTGTTGTTTTCCCGTTAACAGGAGGCGATGGCAAGAATGAGCAAAGTTGGGAAAGTTGTGTTCCCAAGACGTGAGGATAAAAAGTAAGTTTATATTTTTTATATGTATGGTGCTAAAGAATGAGAACAAATGCATGCAACTGTAGATTTGGAATAAACTCCAGAGGTCAACTAATCCAATTCTTTCATTTAATAATTGACAAAACTAAGTCCCAGAGATGTAAAGTCACTTTCACTTACCTAAGATTGCAGAGATAGGTAGGGCCAGAGCTGGGGGTCAAAAACAAGCTTCTGAACTCTCAAACCAATGTTATTTTCCCTATGTCATCAGCAGCAAATCTGGTCTTCTCTGTTCTAAAATAGGGATCTCTTATCTCCTCCATCAAAGGACCCAGTAGCATCTGTCCATTCTTCTACCCTTTGTATCATTTGACAGTGAGGGCTACAAAATGACCTTTTAACCTCAAAGAAAATATTAATTTATTGAGTTCTTACTATAGTCAAGGCATTAGATTGGGATAATCCAGATGGGATTTAGATGGAAATAAGACACAATCTGATTTATGTACATAGATCATTTCAGAACACAGAGATAAGTTCTACAATAGAAGTATTACCAGGTGACAGAGCAGTCCAGGGAAGAAAGGCATGTGACACTGGAGGGCTAAGGGAAAGCTTTTGAGAGGAGGTTAAGTCTAGGCTGACTTAAAATGCTTAAAAGAAGTTGCTAGACAGGCTAAGGCAGGGAAGAACGTTCTTGGTGGAGGGAATAACATATGCAAAGTTATAAAAATGGGAACAGCATGCTATCTTCAGGTAGCTATAAACCACTGAATTTCAAAACACAAAGTATGAGATGGGGAATAGCAGGAAGTGAGACTGGGGGCAGGGTAGCATTGGGGAAGAGGAGCTGAGCTCATGTGGAGCTTGGAGGACATCCTAAAGAGTTTGAACTCATCCTACAGGCAGAACCGAGGTACTGAGTTTTAAGCAACAGTGAGACCTGGTCATATGCAGATTTTAGAAAGATTCTTCTTACAGGATCAGTTAGAAGGGAATAAGGGTAAAAGCAGAGAGACCAGACAGAAGGCTTTTTCAACAATCCAAGTTACAGATGAAAAAGACTTCTATTAAGTCACTGGTAGTGAGTTTGAAGATGAAGGGACAGTTGTGCAAGTGCCTTTATAATTTGAGATTAAGACATAAAAACAAATTCCACCTCATGTAATGACAGGCCAAGGTGCAGATCCTACCCAAAGCACGGTCAGAATTTAACAGAGTTGGAAATGTCCATGGAAAAAGCAGTCCAATTTCTTTTCATTTTCTTCTTTCCAAATGGAGTCAGGCTGTTAACCGTTTGAATATAAACCCCTCTCTAAACACCAAAGTCAGAGGAGCAGGCCCTCGCGTAGGGGAGCCCAGAGTAGGAACATGGAGAGATCTGAGTTCCCAGTGAAACTCAGCTGCCCCTTTCTGTTTTCCTTTAGGGTGCCTGGAGTATTGAAATTAGAAACAGATTATCCTTCTCCATCTCTTCCCTGACCCTCCCAAGACCTTTGAGGGAAGTCTGTTTTTAAGTTTTTTGAAGAGTCCTTGGCTTCTTGCTGGCAGCTGGCAGCTGGCAGCTGTCCTCTGTGAAGGAGGAGGCACACATGGTGCCTTAGCACCATCTGCAGGTGGCCCAAAGATTTGCAAGCAGAAGGAGGGAGCCAATTTCCTTCTAGGCTACTCTCATATCTCTTTGCCTGAAATCACATTACTAACTGTACTTGACATTTACTTAGGTCTGTGCCACATAGAAAAAACTGACTGTGTTGGGAAGAACGTGGAAGAGAGGAGATTTAGCTCACTTAAAAAGTCAGGAGCACAGAGAGCCTAATCTAGCAACTGTAGGTCAACAAGTAAATTTTTAGAATGACCCAAATCTTGTCATTATGCCCAGACCAAATTCATATGTGGCTTTACAACAGTCACTTCAAAGTACTTTGAAAAATTTTGTGCATTAAAAGATTCTATCAAAAGAGTACAAAGGCAACCTACAGAATGGGAGAGAATATTTGCAAATCATATATTTGATAAGGGATTAATATCCAGGATGCATAAAGAACTCCAAAAACTTAGCAACAAAAAAATCCAAGCAACCTAATTCAAAAATGGGCAAAGGACTTGAATGGATATTTCTCCAAAGAAGGTTGGCCAATAATCACATGATAAGATACTCAACATTACTAACCATTAGGGAAATGCAAATCAGAACTACAATAAGATACCATCTCAAACCCATTAAGATGGCTACTGTTAAAAAAAAAAGTTGGTGAGGATGTGGAGAAATTGGAACTGGACAATATGGCAGTTCATTAAAAATAGAATTAACGTATGATCCAGCAATTACACTTCTCGGTATATACCCCAAAGAACTGAAAGTAGGGTCTCAGAGTTATTTTTACACCCTTAACCACAGCAGCATTATTCACAACATCTAAAACTATGGGAGCAGCCCGACTGTGTCCATCAATGGGTGAATGTGTAAGCAAAAAAAAAAAAGTGGGGCGGGAGATACATATATACAATGGAATATTATTCAGCCTTAAAAGGGAAGTAAATTCTGACATATGCCACAACATGGGTGAATCTTGAGGACATTATGCTAAGTAAGATAATCACAAAAACAAATACAGTATGATTCCATTTATATAAAGAATAAGGCCAGTGAACAAAGTTGTCTGTATTAAAACTGGAAATTTTCAAGTATATGAGAAGGGGTACTAACTTTAGCTCCCTTCTGTCAGTTCTGAGATTCTAAAGTCAGGAAATCCATCTCATATAAGTGAAAGAATTGCTTAACATATTTTTATAGAATATCATTAAAAGAAGAAAATGGTCCCAAAATCATTCCATGATTAATAAATTTGAAGGCTCATAGAGTGGGTTTTAGTAGTACCTTCATATAGCCAGACTGATGATAATATTAGAATATTATTTTAAAAGTACTAACTAGCATTTATACACTTATTAGGAGTCAGGCACAGTTCTACGTGCTTTTTATATATTACCTCATTTAACTCACACAACAGCTCTGTTGAGGTAGATTCTGAGATTCCAACCCAGGCTTCACCCACCTCCTTACCCTGCGTTTGGCCACATCACAGCTTTTACGTTACCAGAACGCTCAAGGTAGAAATGTTGGGGGCTGGGGGACTCCTATTAACACGTAGCTCTGTGTGACAAGTAGGAGTCCCTATGTGTATCCAAGGTTGCTCTTATAACACCTCTCCCCCAATTCACAAGCTTGCACCAAAGCTCCCTCATGAGGACTTTTCAGAGCACCCCAGAATCTACCAAGCCATGCTAACTAAACTGGCTTCATCAACCACTCACCCCATGTCAATTCCCCCAACCAAGAAGAGTAAGGACACAGTTGCATGTCTTCAAGTATATTTGTGTAGGCTGCTATTATCCTTCCCAGGACTGATGCCAAAGCAGCTTCAGCTGCTTTGCCATCTGATTAATGGCCAGCACCCGTTCTAACAGGTCTCACCTGAAGAGTCAGCTGGAGAGGACAAGGAGAGCAAGGTCACTGTGAGATGCCTGGAAGGCAGGGCACAGCTACAGGAAAGGCATTAGACACATTTCCATGGGGTTTTACTCCTGGGTAAAGCAGTCTGCAAAGGAAATCTAGATGTGGAATCTGCAAAAGGGTGATTAAAATGTTTGGTCTCCTCCCTGGTTTTCTGCCAGTCATCAAACCTGGGGCTCATCATATGAGAAGTATTTACTGAAGCTGGGAATGTACCTACAGTGGAGGCTTTGAAGTCAGACAGATGTGAGTTTGAATTACTGCTCTGCCCGTTTTTAACTGTGCTGCTTTGGATGTGCCTCTCTGAGCAAATGTCCTTTTCTCTGAAGTGGAGGGAAGAACACTTCATGTAGGTTACAGGTAGTAGGGATGAAATACACTAACCCGTTGCCCAGCATGCTGTAAGAATTCAGAAACTGGGAGGTGTCGGCATAACCATAAGAGATAACATTCCTGTTCTTCTGAATGGAAGGGGAAACCACATGATGGTTTTGTCTTGAGATCATTCAACAAATTCCTTTTTCTCCCACAGATATTACGACAAGAAATATCAAGTATTCCTGAAGTTGGTTGAACACCAAAAGGAGTATTCAGAGATCATGAAGGGGGACTGAACAGGGCTTGCAAGTCCTGGTGTCAGAAGGTTCTGTGTCATTACATTAGGGACCTCTGTCATTTCATCTTATATTCAAGACCCTTGAGGTATCATTTCATCATTTCTGTATTGTCTTCTAATAAAGAAAACAGAAACGTGTAACTAGAACTAGAGTCTTCCATTTCAGAATGCCACTATTACTTAGTTGACAGTTTCCATGCAGACACCGTCGTGGCGAGAGAAGTTTCTCATAGAGTCGCAAGGTCTCGGATGGGACCAGACCATGGGGGTTATTCAATCTAGGGGAGACTTGTACTTGTTAATTGATTCAATGTCATCCATTAAATGAAAGACTTACATTGATTTAGGGAGGACATCTAGTGTTTATTTTCTGTTCTATATGGCATTTTTACCTTCTGTACAGGATCCAGTCTAGGGTCAGATATAACATTTAATTGCAGAATCATCATTTTGCAATCACATGTTAAAGATAGGTATGAGCAGGAATCATCAATGAATCCAGGAGGGAATTTTGATGAGTAACAGGATGTATGCATGGTCTTAAAATGTCTCTTCATAGTTTATTAGTTACAAGAGGAAAAAGAATGTTAAATATACAGGGAAGTAATAGGACAACATCTTGATTGGGTGATTAAAATTAACTTCAGATGGGCAAATGGGCATCATGGGCCTCCAGATGTGTTAGCCTGAGAAGGAATCAGCACCTCTTTGGCTGCAAATGCATAGCCTGAATCTAGTCATAAGGAAACATCAGACAAACCCAGAATGGGGAGTATTCTATTTTTTTCACAGACTATATTCTTCAAAAATATCTATGTCATAAAGACAAAGGCTGTGGAAGGTTTCCCAACTAAAAGAAACTAAAGAAACATGATGGCTAAAAGCTTTTGATGTAGACAAATGTTTGGAAAACTATAGTTGCTTTAGTTGATATCATAGCAAACACAAACACACACAGGCATACACATATGTACATATACATACACATGCACACATTTCAGATCCAAGAGTAACTGCTGATGTTGATTCTAGATCTCTCGTAGCTCAGATGAGTTTGGGTAGAGGGCAGGCTGAGACTTCAGCAAATTAAAACAGCAGGTAGAAAAGAAAAAGCCAATACAATTCAGTCAAAAAACATCCTTTGGAGTACTTACCCTGTGCCAGGCATTGTGCTAAACACTGGGGTGCAGGAATAAGTTCCCTGCTGTCAGGGAGCTTCCAGTCTAATGAGAGGCGTAGACAGTTAAATTGGTCGCTAAGTACATTGTAAGAGGTGGTGCAATAAAAAGAAAGCACCCCTGCGTGGAGCACATCAATTGGAAAAGGAGGGTTGACAGGTGAGATGAAAAGCAGTACAGGTGGGATGAAAAGGTGTAACGGTTGTGAGCCCCGGCTTGGGATCCTTGGCCTGGCTTTATCTCCTTTTTACTAGCTGTGTGACTTGGGGAGAAAGGTCCTTCACCTTCCTAAGCCTCAGTTTCCTCATTTTATTTATTTATTTATATCTTTTAGCATTTTAAAACAATGTGAAAGTTACAGAGAAGTGGCGAGTACAATACAAATAACTTTTTTTGTCTGTTTATTCATTCTTTTGTTGATGAAGAGCTTAGGTTCTTTCCATTTGTTTTGGCTACTTTAAGAAATCATGCCATGACTATTTTAATGGACATTTTCTTGTGTATACATGTAAGATTTTTCTTTTTGTTGTTGTTGTTAGATGTTTTTATTATTTGAGAAATGAGTTTTGAGCTTGATTTCAATCTCCCATAACAAAGTCTGTAAAAGAAAATGAATGATAGTTACATATTTAACACATTTTACAATATATATAAAGATTATTATACCCTAAAAGAATTATGTAATATTGATTAAAATATTTGCATCAATGGTGCTTTGTAGACTGCTTAATAGTCTTTTCTTATTATTCTTTAAAAGGACCAACAAAAAGAAAAATCTTACATGTATACACAAGAAAATGTCCATTAAAATAGTCATGGCATGATTTCTTAAAGTAGCCAAAACAAATNAGTCTGTAAAAGAAAATGAATGATAGTTACATATTTAACACATTTTACAATATATATAAAGATTATTATACCCTAAAAGAATTATGTAATATTGATTAAAATATTTGCATCAATGGTGCTTTGAAGACTGCTTAATAGTCTTTTCTTATTATTCTTTAAAAAGATCAACAAAATTTGCAAACCTTTACCTAAACTGACCAAGAAAAAAAGAGAGAAGACAGAAATTACTAAAATCAGAAATACAGCAGGGGCATGTTAGAGCGTTTGCTTCTTCTGTTTCACTAGACTGGGCTTTGAGGAGAGAGACGTCCTCTTCTTTTTCTGGTCTCCACTGGTGACTCTCCTTGTGTCACTGCAGTCAAGTGTCTGTTGGGCTGCCTCCCTGTGAGCTGTGGCTACTGCTGTGGTCGAGCCACCTTTGCGGCAGCCGTGGCTATGGCAGCTGTCGTGGGCCACCTGTAAGGAAGTGGTGTTTTCTGCATGCTCCTTGTCTGTTTCCCAGTGGGGGATGCTGCCCTCAGCTCCTGCGTAGGACCCTGGGCATGCTGTTTCTTGCCTGCATCGGAGCGGAGAGTTTACTCATTTTCAAATTAAGATATTAATAGTACCTTCCTTACTCAATTGCCTGGCCTTGCCTGTCTTGTTATAGGGCCTGGCTCCTTCAGGGTGCTCAGAATGGTAACAATAGCGAACACCGAGTGGGAAGACCACACCCAGTTATGAAGGCCAGCTCTGCAACAGCATTCTACAATATTCAAAGGATATAGCGAGCTTAGGCGTGGCCTGGAGTGAAGGCGGGTTTGGGCATCTGATCCAGCAGGCCTTGCAGGAAGAGGGAGCCGGCAGGAAGAGGGAGCCAAGCTTGCTCATAGCGAGACCCCAGCCAGAGCTTGGGCTGGGGATGAGAGAGGATGGAAAAGTGCCCCAGAGGAGGAGTCAGATATAGCTGGATCTAGGCAAGATGTCAGGACCACCATGGAATGGGCTTCAGCTGCAAAAGCTGATCAGCACTGACTCAGAAACCGGGGCAGGCCTGGGCCTGCTCACACAGAGCTCTGGTGGATGCAGTAGTAGCTGTGGGGTTAGGAATGCAGAGGTTGAAGAGTGAATAATTACCAACTATTTGCCAAATCCTTCCTGTATGTTCTCTCTAATCCCTGCCACAGCACAGAGAGGTAGACAGCATCAACCTCACCACCTGATCTTTAGTTACAGTACTCATGCTGTGGGCAACCAGCCCTGGCTGCTGGTCATCCTTTCAGGCAACTCCTGTCCAAACCAAACCTGACCTAGTGATCTCACTGCTTTATAGAAAAAGGAAAACACACAAATGAGGCAAGAAATATGGCAGTACTAGGAGGCATCTCAAAAATGAGGAGCAGCCTGATAGAATGAGGAAGGACTGAAAGAACTCGGGCTGGATAGTTAACCTCTAAGCCTCAGTCTCTCCCTCAGTCAATGGGATCATCCTGCTCCCTCCATCCTAGGGTTAGTGGTAAGGATTCAGTGAAAGAACTGTGCATAAAGCCCCCAGCACAATGCCTTGCAGGTAATAGGCCCTCTGCAAATATTGTTTCTACATGGTTCTCTTTGTGCCTTGTGGCCAGGAGGTTAATCCCTGAGAAAATCATTCTGGTTCCTACTATAAAGCCAGTGTTTTAGGAAAAATGTAAATGTCTATATATACTTCTATAACCATGTGTTGCTTAATAACAAAAGGTTTAGTGACTCCAATATTCACCTTCTTGTATTGGGAAAAGAGGGTTTATTTAATGCACACATATAAAGTATATCTAGTTTCTATGAATAAGAATTACAGAGTGGCCACCATGGTTTGTGGGATTTTTGTTTTGTTCCCTACTGAAAGCTTTTCTCTCAAGTTGAAGCAAGCCTTGCTTAGTAAATCATTTTGCCAAGGAACACATCACAGGTTTTTAATTTTGAACAAAAATACTTCCCATACGTAAAGAACATAAACGTGGCTTTCGAAAAAACCAAAGAGAACAATAGCTGGGGGAGGGAAGTGGGGAAGAAAAGACAAGGATGTCAGAATAGTGTGACATGTCACAGAACTGCAGTAAAGTACAGGACCCAATGCCAGAGTTTACTGGAGTCCAAATGAGGCATCTAGAAGGGGTACCCTCTCTTGCAGACATCAAGATGGGACAGTTAGTCTTTATATTCAGAGCATGGTCTATGTTGTTACCAGTTGGAGTAGGTGTATAAATTCCAAGGAGAGCAATAAAAATGTTGTAAGACATCCCTGGAAACTCCCAGCTTCAAGGAGGTATGAAATCAGCGGGTAAGGGTAACAGGCTGGAACATTTAGGTTTTAATATTAACATGATTTACTATTTCTCCCAGGCCTGAGGATAATAAAGTTGTTGAGGTTTACTTATCTGTTCCTTGGCCACTCTACCTGTGAGCTCTTGGAGGACACATGCTTGCTTAGGGCCTATGTTCTTTGCACCTACACAGTTCCTGCCACGTGATGGGTGCTCTATAAATGACTAAATACACAAATACAAGACATTTTTCTGCAAAAAAGAAGACTGGTAGAACTAAAAATATCTCAAAGCCTCACTTTCAGGTCAAACAATCTATGGTATGTTTTCATGTGCCTTAATTTAAGCAACTGTCAGAAACTTTAGAATGTGACTTGGTCACTAAGGGTTAAAAAAGTCTTGTCTTATCCCTAATGACTTTCTCTTAGTTGTTTTTTTTTTTTTTTTTTTTAATTGCATGCACACATACCTGCATAACTACACAACTTCATTTTGGATTGTAACTCAAGTTCAGAAACCTTTTGCAAATTTTCAGTGTTGTTACAGACCATTTCCTGCATGGTATCTTATGGGAAACCAATTGCTCCATAGTCCAGAAATACCCATTGTTCACCAGGGCTGCGGTAACATGCTTTCAGAATTCAAGGGC